CACTGCATGGACAGAGGATGGATTGGTGATGGCTGCTCAACACAAGAAATATAGGCATATTCAGGTAAACAAATGCTTTTGCTTGTCTTCACAGGGTATCTTTCTTCTTTGAAGGATATTATGGTATGTTATGTCCATATCTTTTTGACATACCTTAAATATGCATGGAATCTGGCGCTTGAAATGACCAATAACCATTGAATCCATGACATTAAATTAGTAGCGAGAAAAATTAGAAAGAGAGCACAAAAACTCTTTTGGGAATTGCAAGGTCTTGTCTTGTGGCTTCCAATGATTCTTTTGTTCCTTTTCCATATATACTGGGTTTTGACTTGGTTATATATCATGATTCACTCTGTTGTTTAGCTGTGGTTATTTTATTTTCATAAACAAACTGTTAAATGTTATAGGGTGTTCAGTTCCATCCAGAAAGCATCATAACTTCTGAAGGCAAGACCATTGTTCGCAATTTCATCAGACTGATACAGAAGAAAGAGGCTGAATCCCAGAATTAGAGGGGCCATAGTAGAAGGGGGTATGGAATCATCCTCTAGCCTCATTGTACTTATATTTTAATCCAAAATATGTTTTTCAGTTTTCTGTATGTTCTGCTCGTTTTATAACCTCTAAGGAGGACATGTTCAACTTTAAATATGGGAATTCTTTTATGATCTTGCTTTTAAGTTTATGTATTATCTATCCTGTGAAATCAAATGCATAGAATAAAGAACTTGAAAATGAATCCTGTCTTTGCTAGGGATGGGAAAGAGGCGTTTGGACACCGTGATGGGTGGACAAACATGAACCACAATTAACAGAAGGCTACATCTTTAAATCTTGTATCAATCAAGAAGATAAGATGTAGCTTTCTGTCGTTTGCATGATTATGATTACGATTATGAGTGGTAGGACTAATGGATAAGTATCATCTATGTGGTCTTAAATCTCCTTAAAGGTAGATTTTTTTTCTTTATCCTCTTCCAAAGTGGTAGATTCAAAGTCTCGATAGTTTTCTTTTTCTATGGGATTATCTAGGTTTGGTGCATATGATAACTGGGCTATGCAAGTTGGGACGGCCTTTCCCTTTCCTAAATCTATCCTCACTAGTCTCAACATTAGAACTTTAGAATTCTAATTTAGAGTCTCAAGCTCTTATATGTTAAGATACCTCTTTGAGTGGTGAACGTACTTCAAGGGAATATGCATCATTGTATCTTTTCGTGTCATTTTCGTATCATTGTGTTTGACTCGTATTAGCAAACAGTTTACCTTGGTATTGAGTAGAGGACTCTATACATTAGTGTTAGTCTATTTAAAATCATTGACTCTTTTTTTGATATAATCAATTGTTTGGTTGAGCATGCATGTAAGGTACAAATAAGTTAACTTTGTCAGATGTCTTAGTAATCCGAGACGAAAAGGATCTAATCACACAAAATATTTTTAAGACAGAACATGGTGCCTCTTTTGCAATGCTTGAGTTCTTGAAACTCAGAATCTCGATCAAAATCTCCTTTTCATTATATATTATTTGTCTTTTAATTTCATTTGCAGATGCTAAAATAATGGTCTTCCATTATGTCGCTATACTTTTTGTCTAAATAATTTCCAATAATTTAAAGAAACTTGTTTCATGCCAAATTGGCCATGTTGTAGGTTTATTCAAGTGGCTAAGTGAATGGATTTAAAAAGGAAGAAAGAGGTTTAGAGCCTCTTGGCCTAAATGTCACTTTTATAAAAATGTTGTTGGAGTATAGTCTTTGTGAAGCTGTTAAATCATGAATTTATAGAAAGTAATTATATGATTTTTTTTTTTTTGAGAAAAAAAAAACCTTAATAACAAAACTTTTTCTCCATGTTTATAGTTATCGCTTCATATTTTAACCCTTTAAAAGCAAAAATAACTTTTATTCCCTTTGTGTTATAATAAAAGTTTTATTAAGTAAAAAATTAAGATCTACTTACATTTTTTCCTATATTGCTTGAGCTTAGTGCATGACTTTCAAAAAATATTAGAATCTTAATTTACATTTAAAAATTAAAATCTCAATTTAAAATATAAAAATTTAACTTATTAAATGTTAATAGTTAAATTTGAAACTGATTATATATTTTAATATAATCAGTTTTTAAATTTAAATATTAATATTTAATAAAATAAATTATTAAATTTTGAATTGAGTTTTAATTAAATAAAACAATATAATTTAAGGTTAAAATTTTAATTTCTTTTAAAAATTAGAACTGATAGATATATTTCTCATATCGTTTTTAAAAAAATACAATGAAAAAAGGATTTTGATGATAAAATTGATAATTAAAGTTAAGAGAGTAATAGGGTAAACTCGGAAGAAACTTTTATTTACCTTCAAAATAAAAAGAAAATTCACAATTAATTTAAAACAAATTTTGAATAAAAAAAGCTACTATTATTACGAGACAAAGGGAATAGGGAAAGTTGGAAGCATTTCTTTAAAAATTATATCTACACACAAATCAATTTTAAAAAAAAAGGGTCTGAGAAATAATGCAATATTTATTGTTTTAATAAGGATTTTTATAGCTTGTACCTTATGTAATAAATATATTTTTTATTATAAATTTTTGTTGAAAAGGCAAAAATTAGTTTTCAATTTATTAATCATCTAATTAAATTTATTCATATAACTAATACTAAAATTAATATCAATTTTCACCTTTTTATATATAAATTTATAACAAAAGTTATTCTAACTTTTGTTTAAAAAACGTAAATAAATACCCAACTCAATGATGTTTTGAAGTAAATACAAAGTCAAAAAAAGCTCTTATTGATTTAGAAAACAGTTTTACAAAATCTCTAACCAATCAAAACAGTCTCATAAGAACCATGTTAAACAAAACACTAACCAAAGTTTTTAGTGGATTTGATAACTTTGATTCTTCTTGGAAAAGTCATTAAAGATGAGAAAGAAAATGAAGAGAGATTTGAGTGGTTCGTTGTTACCAAAAGCCAGCTGGCTTACTTTTCTAGTCTAGAATTGCTTTTCATCAAAAAATGAAATTTCTTTTGAAATTCAATATGGGTGTAGCTTTCCTTGCTTGTGATGTATTGACCTTTTTATCTTAAGAAGCAACCTCCAACCCAATCATACAGATGCTTATCAGTAAATTCTGTGGCCAACTATATTCCACAGTTCAGTTCAACTTTCTAAGTCTTCCACTAAATTCTTTGCCCCACAATTGGGGGAAACATTTTCCAAATCCGGATTATTTTTACAAATTGTTAAGAATTAACTACTTAATAAAATGTTTTGTAATTCAGACAATCATTAATTCAAGAACCACCCTCTGATATTGAAAAAGAGTTTCTTTATTTAATAGATAATGTTTTGTAATTTCAACATTATCGGAATCAACGGCTTATGTTGTAAATATTTGAACTTATAATCAAGAAGTTTAGGTTTTATAAGTAGTAAGTAACAACCCAACTAAACTCATACTTACAATCCTTATCAAACAAATATTTTTATATTTTGTATTTTGTTGATAGAATTAAAAGAGAAGTAGAAGAGAACAAATAAGAGGAAGCAAATCCCAACTGCCCTTGGAATGAAGCCCAAAGGCCCCAACTGCCTTGCTCCTGTTCTTCCTCTTCAAAATTGCATTCCAACTAAAACCCAGCTTAATTCACTTGTCACATCTAAACCCACTTTGGATTCCAACTGCCCTTTTGACAACATGTACTCAAAGAGTCAGGACCTCAGCTGACATCTCTGACTTCTAAAAAAATTTATCTATGAAGACAAATTGCCCCACAAGCGTTGGACATTAAATACAACAATTTGAGCATGCTGTGTTTGCTGCAGTGGTTTCTTTCTTGAACAGAAATTTCAGAACCAGAAGAAAAAATTAACTACTTTTCAGGGAATATGTAAAGCATACAAAATAAAAATAAAAATGCAAATGCTTAAGAGCATTTATTCTGCCCATGAGAGGGGTGCGAGGAAAGTACAGAAAACCCATCACCAAATTCAATTTATAAAACGCCAAAAAACAAACACCAATGATAAAAAAGTACCTGGGAAGCTAATCGTATGAACTATACACATGCCCACATCATGAACCCATGTAATGATATCACCTTCAGGAAAAATCTGTGCTCTCCCACATTTTTTTTTATACACAAGAAAGAACTGACCGACCCCCAGCTAGATCAAACAGAACATAGAATAAAGATGAGTATGATGCTGGCGTACCCTGGTAAGATCTAGGCAGAATCAGTCCCAGATTGGGTGCTGCGGTGGTGTCTTTTGCCATGGTGGCGCCTGCCTCCTCCGAAAGTGACAGGGTCGAACCTTTTAAGTCGCTCGGCTTCTTGGGGAACAATCAAACACTCAGGGGGAGGAACTTTGTAGCGGATTTGGTCATAGCAGTAGGAATATGTCATGTGCTTCCTCCTGAAGTTATCCATCTTGGCTCTTTGCAATGGGGAAATGCCAGAAGAAATTGCTTCCAAGCTCTTGGCGTTCTCACACCTCTTTGATGATGGCTCAATAGGATCAACAGCGCAGCCATGGAGGATCAGATCAGAGAACTCAGCAACGTAGGGTGCATATTTGTAATTGACTCTGTATTTACCACCATTTGTAGCCCAATCTGAACCATCCCATATTGTGGCATACAAGGACATTGGCTTAGAGGGGAAGTCTCCACCCATTGGTGGTGTCCTTTTAACCTCTCTAATTGGGACGTTGTCTACATAAAATCTACAAACAAAATAACCATGAGAATCAGAATTATGCATAGCACTCTTTCACCATCAACATCTCTAGTATAAACAACTAGTCGAAAAATGAATGCCCAAAATCCTAGCCTTCATTGTGAGATTTCCAAGAACTATTACTTCGCTCATGATGTAAACTAACAGGAATCGAACTATACAAGATTATGAAGTTACCATTTGCTTCTCAATTATTCCGAGAATGGTTTTATATGAGTTAATTGCATAAAATGTAATTGTTTCAATATATTCTTGGACAAACAAAATCTACAATTCCACCTCATTTTCATACTGTTCGCTAAACACAGCAATGAAACACTTTAGTAAGGCTACTTGAAGGAATAGCTGGTATGATGAAACAGGGGATGCTGTTATTGGAAACAACAGAGCACATGCTGTACAACACAAAAAGCCTTCCAAAACAAGCAACCCCACAGCAGAAGCATCAACATCACACTCTCCAAAACAGCAAAAATTCAGTGCTTCTTGCACAAATTATCAATTTTTAAATGGTGCCGGAGCAGAAAAGTAACCTAAATATTTATCCAGTAGTGGAAAAAAAAAGGGAGAATTTTGGTTTTTGAGAGCTTACATGATTTGAGAATTAGTCCAGAGAATACTATACTGATGGAAATCATCAGAAGGGTCGAACCAGAGATTGTATCTCTCTTCTCTGCCAACACTGGTGCTTCCATTTCCATAAACATTGGTCTGAATCCTCCACTCTTTGCCTCTGATGTTACCCAAGAACTCAAAATCTATTTCATCATGGTTCTTCTCAAAGATATCACCATTTGACATCTATATCCAGAAGAAAAATAGAATAAACCCATGATTAGTTAGACATAAACACAAGCACACTGTGCTCCAAAGTAAAAATTTGCAACAAATTTCATCTGGATATGAGTGAATTAAACACAACCCCATCTGGTATTGATCATTATCAAATATTTTTAGCAAGAATTGTATGA